GCGGGCACTTCAGTGCGAGTCGGCGGCTTGGCGGGCGCGGTACCATGGAAACGTCGACAACGGTAGACACGATGATGGTTCTAGCGATGCTGGTGACGATGTTGACAACGACGACGCCGCGGCCAGTGCGGGCGCCGATGCGGATCACGCCACGATGACGACGTCCTCGCGTCGGTGAAAACGTTCGACATGCGCGCGCGGCCGACGCGCGACAGTGGCCAGCATTAGATTTTTTGACACACGTTCGCCCCCCCCCCCAACACGCGCGCAAGGGCGCGCGAACGATTTCGGCATGCGGCGCGAGAGGGCCGCTTGGTCGATTCCCACGAACATGTTGAACACACGATGGTCTCTGAACAAATCGCAAGAGCGCGAGCGCACTTTTTTTGTTTGTCTTTGTTTCCTTCTTCATCATCTTCTTCTTATTCTTTTTCCTCTTCCTCCCACCCCCTTGGAAACTGGTGTTGCGAAACAGTTTGTTTGTTTTTGGTTGTTTCCTTCTTCTTCTTCTCATATTTGTTTTGTAATTGTATATATATACATACAGTTTTTACACATCTACATATATACACATACTGTTTTGGACACTCGGTTTTGACATCGCTACGAAATCGCTACGCAATCAAACGCTTATACGGATTGCGGCATGCGTGCGCGACGACGCGCGCGCGTGCACTTCGTCCTGTTTTTGCAAAGAGTTCTCGCGACGGCACGCGCGCAAAGGGCGTTCGAACGATTTCGGCATGCGTGCGCGCGAATCCTTTTTGATATCACTTTTTGAAATTGATGAACACCTTGTGGTCTTTTTGAAATGAATTCGCAAGAGTGCGCGCGCGCTCGGTTTTTATAAATCCTGAGGCCAACTACGGTTTCCGAAGGATGTCGGCATGCGCGCGCGACAGCGCGCGCGTGTGCAGTCCGTCATATTTTTTGGAAGGCACTCTTAAACATTGATGATGTTAGATATACGGGGAGCTGGCCATGCTGTGAGCGACGCGCCGCAGGCTTGTTGGTATAGAAAATACAATTTACATGATATGTAATAAGAAGTTAAAATGCAGTCCATGAGGTGCAATCCAACTGCGGCGACGGGCGGCGACGTGGAGGCGACGGCTGCCACATAGCCGCCAGACCGAAAACACGACCAAGAAGACGGGCGGCGACGAGGCGGCGACGGCGGCCACACAGCTGCCATACCGAACACACGGACCAGGTCCTCAGAACAGGTGTTAGACCTCCTACGTGCAAGCACTGTTTGAGGAATCTAGATTGTTTTTCTGCCTGCCTGTGTGTCTGTCTGTCTGTCTGTCTGTCTGTCTGTCTGTCTGTCTGTCTGCCTGTCTGTTTTTTCCTCTCTTTCTCCCTCCCTCTCTCTCTCTCTCCTCCTCTTTTTGTGTATACTTATGTTTCTGCCCATATATATATGCATGTATGCACATATGTATGTATGTATGTATGTATGTATGTATGTATGTATGTATGTATGTATGTATGTATGTATGTATGTATGTATGTACGTATGTCTACATATATATATATATATATGTATATATATATATGTATATCAATCGGTTGATTCTCGGACCGTCGCCGTACTAATTGATTCCTCGTTTCGGTGTAGGGTCGGGTCGGGACGGCTATGGCGCGCGGTCGTTTGTGAGTGTCGAGGTCGTAACTACTGGGGCCTGTCGGGAGGCTTCTTGGGACTTCTCGGGGGCCGTTTTGGGGCCTCTCGTGGCCTCTTTTGGACCTCGTTTGGGCCTCTTGGGGGCCAGTTGGGGTCCTGCTGGCGGTCTCGGGGGCCCTTTTGTCTTGTGGCTCTCTTGGGTCATCTTGGCGCCATCTTGAGGCCTCAAAAGCCTACCGGACGCGAAAAAGCGAGAATGCACACATCTTCGAGCTCGTTTCCCTCATCTTGACGTCTAGGTCTCCGAAATCGCAGCCTGTCACCTCCTTGAGATCCGATGCCGCGGAAAAGACCCGACACCGTGAGACATTACGACCGGGCTTCTAGACCCCGCCTGCACGTGGCACTCCTCGAGCCGGCTCCATCTGTGAAGGCCCTGGGGCCCGAAACCGGGCGAAAACGCCCGGCGCCTGGATTTGTGAGGGCCCCTCACGGGCAACAGAAGGGGGGAATATCTTTAGGGGGGTACTCACCACCCACCAAACCACCCCAACCCAACCCGAAGGCTCAGATTTACCCTCGATTTCCAGTGGGGGGGGGGTCGGGAAACATCGAAAAAACACGCGTGGAACCCTTACCCCCCCCAACCCGAAATTCGGGTCTTCGGGTTGGGTTGGGGTGGTCTGGTAGGTAGTCACTCACGGGCAACAGCAGGGGGGAATATCTTTAGGGGGGTACGCCGATCCTCAAGCGCCCATTGATCGCCGACCGGGGGCCTGACATCCCACCCCGCCTAGGGACTTCCGGCTTCGCTATCGGGGGGCCTATCGCCGATGCGTCCCCTCCTCATAAGTCCGTACAAGTCTTCCTTTCCACTGCGGGCGCCCCCCTTGATCAGAGGCCATTAACATATGTACACGTACGCGGTTAGCTTCCCCTGGAGTGCGTGTCAACGCGGACGTTCGTGCAGGCAAGACCGCGGAGGGCGTACATGTACATATGTCGTTGCTCGCCCACTTGAGTGACGAGCGGTCGTCGGTCTGCCAATCAGACGAGGGCGCCTGTTGGAAAGGATCTTCCTTCGACTCGAGGGACGCCCAGGGTAGCCTCATTTTGAGAGGCACATGTCCTCCATCCGTCTAATCGTTGCAGGATGTCGAAGTTTTGGACGTGTGCTTCGCGGAAGTCTCACGCTAGAGCTCTTCAAGGAGTCCCAGGGATAGCTTCATTTTGACAAGAGCATGACCTCCATCCATGTAAGCGTTGCGGGATGCCAAAGTCGTGGACGTATGCTTCGCAGAAGTTTCACGCGAGAGCCCCATGTCGAAACAGGAGCAGCCCTCCATACATGTTAGTGGTTGCGGTATATGGAACGCCAGGTAGTAGGAGGTCGAGGAATGGTCACGTGAATGTAGACGGTCGGCTTTGTATTCGATTGTGCGCGAGGCCAAGGGGAGACTCCAATACGGTGGGGGCTTTCGTGCAGGAATGTGCCCAGGAGACTGCGCATCCTGGAGGATTCATTATCTGATGAGGGCGGCGGTGATATCCATGGCCGATCCACGATTGGAGTGCCTCTGGCTTCCAAACCCCGGGTTCCTTATCTAAGGGTTCCTTGTCCACTGCCCCCACCGTCTTGGAAAAGACTCGCCATCCACTGGCGCAGCTAATGGCAATTTCGCAGTCGAGTATGCACGACGCTAGGGCGAGAGCCTTTTTTTGAAAACGACCCGCTCTCTACTTGTGCTTTGGCTGTGTAAAACCATGGTGTGCGGAGCCAGCAAAGCGATAACCCCATTGCGAAAGCCGTACGGTCCACGCGTCAACGCGATCTGAGTCCATCTGCTCCTTGATGCCTCCTGCGCCTGGGAGCGCCTGGGAGTGTTCGGGAACGCGTGGGGCATCCTGGGGAGCGCTTGGGTCCACAATCGGAGTCGGCGAGGGGCGCCCGAAACGCATCGAATTGTTATGCATGTGTGATAGGTTTATTGATTTGTTTTGTCTTTTTTGCCAGGGGCTCTTCGGGACCAGAGTGTATGTCGATGTTGAAGGAACACCGTCTTTTACATAGGATTGTGAGGGTTGAGTCGGACGGACGTGCACCGAACTGTGTGTTGCATAGGATGGTGAGTGTTTGGTCGGATGGATGTGTACCATCTAGCAGTTACTACATACGAAGATGAAACATAGGTCGTGTGGGTGCACACCGCAGATAAGATTTTGCATCGGTTGGTGAGAAATGGGTCTGATGGACGGGCGCCGAATATTTTTTGGCATCCGATGGTAAGAGTTAGGTCGTCTGAGCGTGCGCCGAGAAACCGTTTCTTTTGCATCGGATGTTGAGGGTTGGGCCGTACGGGTGTGGCAGATTGCATTTTTTGCGTACGATGGTGTCGGCTGGGTCCTGGGAGTGTGCGCAGAAGAGTGTTTTTCCACAGGGCAGTGATTGTTGAATCGTGTCGTTGTGCGCGGCGGCAAGGCGAGCGCCACATTTTGAAAACGAGCGGGCGTCCATCCTCGAAACCGTTGCAAGTTTTTCAGGCGACTGTGCGCGGCGCGGCCTCCATCCTGGGAGCCGTTGCAAGCTTCGAAGACGGGTGTGCGCGGCGCCCCTGCGAGGGCCACACATTGAAAACCACCCAGCCTCCATATGTGAAGCTCGTGCAAGTTCTCAGATCAGGATTTGCGGCGCTATGGCGAGAGCGACATTTTGAAAACCATTCGGGTTCCATCTTCGAAATCCGGTCAAAGTTTTATACTTAGGATTTGTGGCGCTAGGGCAAGAAGGACATGTTGGAAACCATCCAGGCTTCATCCCCGAGCTTGTTGCAAATTTCAAGCTTCAATATCATAGGTGGCAGCGGAAAATCAGGCGAGACGCCCAGCCCAACCTACGGGCACGTCTTGTGGTGCGGCAGTGGAGGAGGAGGAGGAGGAGGAGGAGGAGGAAAAGGAGGAGGAGGAGGAAGAGCAGGAGGTGGATGAGGAAAAGGAGGAGGAGTGTCGGGATGCATAGCGTGTTTGTGCATAGTACGCGTGCGTGTTGTAGGGGGGCAGTGCTTGTTGCCCCCATGTCTGTTGCAGCATGCGCTTCGTCGTAAACACTTTGGCTCAAGGAGCCCCTCTCTCAGCGCAAGGAAAAAGAATCCTTCGCGACATGGTAGCGGAGCGTAGGTTCGGGAGCCGCCGGACCTTGGGGACTGCGGGTTGCTCCGCGCCCCTTTCCCTCTCCTCCTGCGCCCGAGTGCTGCGGGAAGCCCCGCGCCTCGGTGCATGCCCAGTTCTGGGCATCGCGGGCAGCGGCGATCAGAAGCCGCTCGGTTGAAGCGCGCCGAGCGCGGCGCGCGCCTGCGCCGAGCAGGCCGGCAGCTAGGAGCGAGGAGACATGGAGGAGATGCAGAGAGCCATGCAGCAGCTGAGCCTCAGGCTCCAGCAGCAGGAGCGAGAGATGAAGCAGCTGCAGGAGGACAGGCAGAGGATGCAGGAAGAGCTGGAGCGTTCGCGGGAGGCACCGCAGCGCCATGGAGGACAGCAGCCGCACTCCGTGGTCGACACGCGCGTGCTCAGCAAGCCCGAGAGCTACGCTGGCGATCCGTCGAGGCTCGCGGATTGGAGCTTCAAGATGCGCGCGTACCTCGGGGCGGTGGACGAGCGCTACCAGCATCTCATCGAGAAGACGGAGATGGCGACGGAGCCGCTGAAGAACGCGACGATGGAGCCAGACGAGGCGCGGACTTTTTTGTTTTTTTTTTTTTTTGTTTTTTTTTTCCTGTTTTTATTTGTTTTTTTTTTTTTTTTTTTTGTTTTTTTTTTTTTTTTTTTTTTTTTTTTTTTTTTTTTTTCTTTTATTTTTTTTTGTTTTCTTTTATTTTTTTTTTTTTTTTTTTTTTTTTGTCTTTTGTATTTTTTTTTTTTTTTTTTTTTTTTTTTTTTTTTTTTTTTTTTTTTTTTTTTTTTTAGTTTTTTTTTTTTTTTATTTTTTTTTTTTTTTTTTTTTTTTTTTTTTTTTTTTTCTTTGCCACACATTTTTTTTTTTTTTCTCTTTTTTTTTTTTTTTGTTTTCTTCAGCACCCAGTTGTACTACATCCTCGTGCTGACGACGTCGGGGCCAGCGTTGACCAAGTGCCACAACGCTGGAGTCAACGAAGGCTTCGAAGCGTGGCGGCAGTTCGTGCTCGAGTGGGAGCCGCGTCTTCGGACAAGATTCGTGGGCCTGCTGATGCAGCTGATGTCGTACCGGTTTCGCGACGACATTCCGAGCGCATTGGCGGCATTCGAGCGGCTCGTGCACGACTACGAGTCCCAGAGCCAGAAGACGGTCGACGACGACACCAAGATCGGCGTGGCGCTGTTGGGGATGGAGAACGAGCGCGTGAAGGAGCACCTGATTCGAAACAGCAGCAGGATCACGACGTGGCAGCACGTGAGGGACGAGATCTTGGAGATCACGAGGACGCAGCAGTACATCGACTCGCAGCCCGCGCCGATGCAGCTCGGGGCGACGCCCTGGAATGCCGGAAAGCCCAAAGGCGGCAAGAGCAAGGAAGGCAAAGGCAAGGAAGGCAAGGGGAAGGACTCAAAAGGAAAAGGCAGCAAGGCCAAGAAGGGCGCCGAGGAGGCGTCGAACGCGAACAGGGACAAGGTGTGCTTCTACTGCAAGAAGACGGGGCACGTCAAGGCGGAGTGCCGGAAGAGGCAAAAGGACCTCGCGGCAGCAGAGGGCTCAAGGAGGCCATTGCACGCGACGCCAGGCGCGGATGCTCATCCGTCGTCGGCGGCGTCCGCAAGCGCGGCCCCTCCGCAGCCTCCGCCTCATCTGGCAGCTCTGGTGAGGGACGGCCACACGGACACGTTCATTTTGGCACTGCCCGAAGCGGTCGCGGGAAGCTCCGCACCGAGGAGAAGCGCGGATCCGTGTGACGCATTGCCAGCAGCGTCGAGGAGCGCACGAGGACGAGCGAGGTCAGCCAGCGCGAGGCTGAGGTCGGACGCGGGAGGCCCCGCTCCGAGGGCAGACGCGACTCCAGTTGGCGCTCTGCCAGCGACGCCTCAATACCTCATGATCGACACCTGCGCAGGCGCGAGCGTGTTCCCGCAGGGGTGCGACCCGAACGCCGAGTCCGACGCGAGCGTGCGACCAGTCAAGCTTGCGACGGCTACGAACGACCCCGTGCACGGGGCGAGCGGGAAGCGATCGAGGTTCGAGCTGGAAGGCGGGCGACAGGTGAGCGTGAGGTACAACGAGGCCGACGTGAAGTTCCCGATCGTGAGCGTCGGCGAGGCGGCGTCGCAGGGGAACTGGTTCGTTTTCGGGCCAGGCTGCCAAGCGATGCTCCCAGGGACTATGGGGAGCGAGCTGCGGCAGGCAGCACGGCTGCCAGAGGCAGTGCAGCTGGAGATGCACCGGGGGGTGTACTGGCTTCCGTGCGCGGCAGCGGGAGCAAACGAGCGCGAGACACCACTCTGCGCGACGAGAGCCGCGGCGGTGGTCGAGACCGCTCCGATGGTCTCTTCCAGTAGTGCGGCCGGCCCATCGGATGCGGGTGGCCCTGCTCCGATGGCCGAGGAGCCGCCGGCGACGCCAGCGTTGCGACGATTTCTGGGCATTTCCCCGGGAGCTGCGAGTTCGGGAGCGGGCAGCCCCGCCCCGGCGCAGCTGGAGGAGAGTGAAGCGGCACGCGTCGCGATCAGCAAGCGCTTGCCACCCGCGGTGAGCCGCCAGGAGTTCGACGAGCACCAGCTGACGCACTTGCCCTTCCGATCGTGGTGCGACCACTGCGTGCGCGGCAAGGCAAGCGACGACGCCCATCGGGCGAGGAGCGACGCGGAGAAGGGGGCGCCCAGATGGTCCATGGACTATTTCTTCCTGGCCAGGGCGGACGATCCCCAGCAGGCGAAGCCGGTGCTCTGCTGCCTTGACTCTCTTAGCGGCGCGGTCTTCGCTGCGATGGTGCACAAGGGTGGCGACCGCTACGCGCTCGCCGTCAACCAAGAGGCCCTGAGGTTCACGGGCAGGACGAGCATCATCATTCTGAGCGACCAGGAGAATGCAGTGAAGAAGCTGGTCAACCTTGTGCGCGAGGAGCGTGTCCACGACACCGTCGTGCTCAACACGCCGAAGGGGTCGAGTGCCAGCGCGGGCGGCATCGAGCGTGCCAGCTACGAGGTCGAAAAGCAGGTGCGGACGATGAGGTCCAGGATCGAACAGGTGTACGGCATCAAGGTGGACCTCGACCACAAGCTCCTCCCCTTCCTCGTCCGTCATGCCGCGTGGCTGATCACGCACTACCAGGTGAAGGTCGACGGCAAGACGCCGTACGAGCGGCTGCGTGGACGGCCATACAAGGGCCAGATCGCCGAGTTCGGTGAGGTGGTGCATTGCAGGGACCCCCAGAAGGCCGCCGACATGCCCAAGCTCGATGACAGATGGCGGCTGGGCGTGTGGCTCGGCAAGAGCCTGGCGAGCGACGAGCACTACGTCGGCAGTGCGGCCGGCGTGCAGAGGTGCAGGTCGATCTGGAGGCGGCCGGAGCCGAGCCGCTGGGACAAGAAGCTGCTGGAGGCCATGGCTGGAGAGCCATGGGGCCCGAAGGCGGGGGTCAGCCTGGAGAAGGCACCGATGCCGAGGGGAGTGTACATTACCCTGGACCGCCAGATTAAGTACGGCGGGACGAAGGGCTGCCCCGCGTGCTTCGGAGACGCCAAGATCCATTCAGCAGAGTGCCGTGCCAGGTTCCAGGACCTCGTGGACCGGGACGCGGCGGCACGTGCGCAGCCAGCGGGAAGCACCGCGGCGGCCGAGTCGGCCCCTTCTGCGCCACAGCCAGGAGGAGCAGCATCGCCAGGAGGAGGAGCAGCACCAGGAGGAGGAGCATCGCCAGGAGGAGGGGCAGCAGCAGGAGGAGCAGCATCAGGAGGAGCATCACGATCCAGCGGGGCCCAGCCAGCGGGCAGCACCGCGGCCGGGATGGAGGTCAGCGCAGCAAGGGGTGACGGGCGGCTCGCGCTGGGAGCGGGTAGGCCCGCCGTGGCTGAGCCGCAGGACGAGCCCATGGGCGAGGTAGCGGAAGATTTGCCTGGGGCTCGGAAGCGCCAGAAGATCTTGGCGGGTCTCCCAACGTTGCACGACCAGGAGCCGCAGGCAGAGGAGATGCTTGAGACGCTTCCTCTGCTGGCAGCGCTGCCCGACGACGCAGAGTGGCAGGAGCAGCTCTTGGACTGGGAGCGCGATTACTATGGCACTAAGAGCGGGAAGCTGCTGAACAAGCAGAAGGTCTATGAGGGCAGGCGCCGAGAGCTGGACAACATGCAGCGCCTGGAGGTCAAGGAGCCCATCCTGCTGTCGGAGGCGCGTGCTCAGGGCTTGGAGGTCGTCTACTCCAAGTGGCTGGACGACGAGAAGGCCACGCCGGAGGACCCTGACGCAGTCAGATCACGGCTGGTGGCCACACAGGTCAACACCTACGGCAGGGAGGACGTGACCCAGGCGACGCCGCCGATCATGACCACTAGGCTTTTGGTCAGCATGGCGGCGACGAAGACGAATGCGAGAGGAGAGCACGACTGGCTGATCGGCCGGCATGACATCAGGGTGGCGTTCTTCCATGCAGCTGGCTCGGGGCGAGTGGTCATCGTACCACCTCGAGGGCTCGCGCCGCCGGGTGTTGCTTGGAGGGCCCTGAAGGCATGGTACGGCACGCGCGAGGCCAGCAAGTGCTGGGGGAACGAGGTCACGGACACCATGCAACGCGAGGGGGCCAAGCAGGTAATGGTGGTCCCAATGATGTTCTTCTCAGACTCCTTCGACTACGTGACGAACTGCCATGGCGACGACTTCCTTTCAGCAGGGGCGGCGGCGGCACTCGACGAGGTGGATCGGATCCTGGACGAGCATTTCGACACGAAGAGGCTGCCGCGCATAGGACCGCCAGCTCACGGCGGCGAAGCAGCCGAGGGGCAGCATCTTGGACGCATTATCCGGTGGACGCCGAGTGGTTTCGAGTATGAGGCGAACCCCAAGCACACCGAGGACTTGTGCCGCCTGGCGGGACTGCAACCGGCATCGAAGGGAGCACCGACGCCAGCGACCAAGAGCACGGCGAAGGGCCGGCGCGACCAGGACGACGAGCTGAGCGACGAGGAGGTTAAGACGAGCTTCAGGCAGGGTGCAGGGACCGCACTGTATATGTCCATCGACCGGCCGACCATCCAGTTTGCCACGTCGCAGGTGATGGCCGGCATGAGCAAGCCGAAGGTCGTCAATCAGCTGCAGTTGCACAGGCTGGCGAGGTACGTCAAGCAGTACC